CAAAGACTTCAAAACAGATTATAGATCCACTCCATCCTCGTACAGACACATTGCTTGCAAAATAATTCTTCTAAAAACAAAAGGGAGCTTTAAGATAGCTTTCTGGACTGACCAGCTTCACTGACCAATTTATTGCTTTGCTTGTAATTAACAGACATACATGATTCTGCTCTATTAAACACTGACTTAGGTAGAGTCTACAACCTACTGGACTCATACCTGACCCTCTGGTAAAAACCCTATGGAAAGATTCATTTTGATAAGTCTCAAATTACATTCTTTTGCTGAATTTATGTTAAAAGTCTTTTGATATTTCAAATCCCAACCAAAAAAGTCCTTTGACATCAATGGGTTTAGACTGAAATAACTCTGCATTGGATTGCATTACGAATCATGCTGTGCTTATTCTAATAGGCACAACTCTGAATTAGAAAGGCAGTTATCAGAATTAAATTATGCATTCACCTCAGATAACTCTGATAAAATTCTTATGCATCACAAAGAAGTCTAGTTTTCCTGCTTTCTTGAAAATGTTAAGTAGCACTCAGAACAATTCTAAGCAAGATAAATATGCTGAATCACCCAGACCAATCTTTGATTCACAACCAGCGCCATGTTTCAGCTTAGCAAGCTTGTGACTCAGTGGCAGAGCATCTGCTTTGCAAGCAGAAAGTCCCAGGTTCAGTCTCCCAGAATCTTCAGCTAGAACAATCAGGTATTGGTCAATGTTAAAGACCTCTACATAAGACTCTTGACAGCTGTTAGTCTGAGTATACACACAGTACTGGCCTTGATGGACTGAGGGTATCATTCAGTATATGGCAGCTTCAGGTATTCATGTGTACTTATTTCCTAACAGGTTCCCAAGTATGAAGCTAACATAACACAACTGCAATCAATAGTTTGGTACTTTCACACACTGTTGGAATGGAGTTTGAACTAACAATTTAGAAGAGGAAAAAATAATGGATTTTCTTTCCAGTTCCTCATACTTTTTTTAGTATCATGCTTATAACAATGAGAATATGTCATAATATAATGACCACCAAATGCATAATTCCTTTCTGAATTGCACCCTAATAGGGAAAATGAAGTAAATCAGCCGCAATACAGATTCAGTGGAAGTACATAAGCCTTGTAAATATTTTGGCTTCTGTCAGTCATTTCCTTTTTAGAAAAAGCAGTGATTTTAGGATCAACAAGAATTTTGTAGAAGTGCCAGTTCTTATCCCAGTGTAATAGCTTCTTAATTAACACTCCTACCACAGCACATCTCAGTGTTTTGCTATAACAAAAAGTCCAAATGTTCATGTGTTCACATATTAGTTTGCCAAACTTATTACTGAAGCTTTGCCTTCCTCTACTGAAAAATTAAATCCACAGCACGTTTCTTGAGTGCAGAACAGCTGTACTATTACTGTCATAGTGTAAGATGTAGCAACCTAACTCCAGTGAAGCATTTACCTAATAGTGAATTATTTTATTTCCATTTTTATACTGCCATAGCAAAAGTTTGAGGCAGGTTAAGGCATATGATGGGCATATTTTAGGAGTGAATGGAGATGATACGGAAAGAAAATACACAGATGAAGACACAGAAGGTGGAGTGTACCAGAGGCATAGTTCTGTTAGAAGTCATGTACATGCCATCCACTTTTTAACTTTTAAATAACTTCATTAAATGTTTTTAGTTCTCATGGAAATGGTAAAAACCTCTAGAGCAGTTGTCTTCAGCCCTATGGGTCAGATCCTCAGTTGGGCTGTGGAGCCCTACCAGATAGGAGGCAGCACCCATATAGAGCCCCTTTATATTGCTTTTTGGAAGGACTTGTTGCAAAGATACATGTGACCCCCCCCCCCCCGAAAAAACTTTAAAAACTAAGAAGAGCAGCAGAACAGCAAGGCAAAGTCACTCAGCAGTGGAGATTCTTCTTCTTTAGCACAGACAGGCTCAGACTCTTTGGCTCCTCCTCACTTGTGAAACCACTTGCTTGCAGATTAGTTGCTGCTGTTTGTTAGGCAGGTCCTGGGTCTGCAAATTAAGATTAGTGCTCTTCAAGATTTGGGTGGGGGGAGAGAACCTATGACAGAGCGTTTGTGACACCACGCATACACTGCTGCATGCCTTTCCAGTGCTGTGCTGCTGCCTGTTCCTCAACTCAGCAACATACAGGCAAAACTTACCAGGTAGGGGGTGGTGCCACACTAGAGTGGAACTTCGGATTTGACTTGTGACGCACGTGGCAAAAACGTAGGCCATCACCGTGCCAGAGAGTTAAGGAAGCTTGTCTATACAAGCAAGCCAACTCACAAAAATCAATTCTTCAGTTTTTTTTCATACCAGTCCCAGTTTGTGAGGATCCAATGTCTTTCTCCCCAGCGCAAATATGTGTCAAAGTCAACTAGCAGATAATGAGATAAGGTTCACATAATGAGATAAGGAGATGGGAGGTTGTCACAGTGCCAGGTGGACCATTAGGCATAACAGTGTCAAGGCTACGGTGTGCAGGGGGGAAAAGGTATTTTTCGGATTTGGATACATTGTAACCAAAAATACTGGTTTTCTCACAGTGCCAGGTGGACCATTAGGCATAGCAGCGTCAAAGCTACGGTGTGCAGGGGGAAAATGGTATTTTTCGGATTTGGATACATTTTAACCAAAAATATTGGTTTCCCCAGTTTCCAAACATTGGTATGGTATTTGGATCTAGGTTTTTTGGGGGGGGAGTCCCATATTTTTTGGCTCCATTATTCCTTATGGGGAAACTTTCTGGGGGACTGGGGGAGTGTTTTTAAAGGTACTGGCACCAAAATTGCAGGGGAGCTGCTGGTTTAAATAACTCCCAAATTTCAACTCAATTGGACCAAGGGGTCCAATTCTATGGGCCCCTGAACAAGGTGCCCCCAGGTGTTCTCCATTGTTTCTTATGGAACGAAAGAAAAACTGTTGGTAAATGTAAAACCTGAGAATCTCCCCCATAGGAACACAATTGCAAGATATTGCTAAACCCAACCAATGTAAAATCTGAGAATATGAAGCTATGCAAAACCCAAGAATGTGAACCAACGTAAAACATAAGAATCTAAATGTAAAACCCAAGAAACCTCAAAAACAAAGAAAAGAGCCCTGAACCCAACACAAAAGGAGGAACTTTTAAAAACCAACACTTGAAACTGACAGAATCTCACCTAAAATACCCTGGCAAGCTGATACCAAGTCCTGGGAAACACAGAAGCGGGGGGGGGGGGGCCCCGGGCTGGGGGGCGCAAAAGGGGGGGGGGGAGGGGGACGGGACCCAGGACTGGGAGCCTGCAAATGTCAGCTCCCAATATTCCCAAATAATTCTGGGATTTTTTAGGACCCATTTTTCAGTATCCCCCGAAATCCTGGACATATCTGGGAGACCCAAATATATCTGAAAAATACCAATGAAGTATTTTTCTGATATATTTTCGGACCGTAAATAACCAAATGCACATCCCTAGTCAAGAAGACCAAAGAATCTGGGAGGATGCATTCCATCTTGTTAGCTCGAAGGCTTATAGGCTGAGGGACGGTACCTGTTTAATTGGACCTTATACAGCTGCAGAGTATATGGTCTCATTAGGGCAGCCCACCTGATTTGCTGAGTCACCTGGTTAGCAACACAATTGGTCAAGTTACATCATTAGCCATATATTTGATGGGTCAACTAGAATCATGCCAACCCAGGTTGTTAGGCATAAAGAAAGATTCTTCAGTCTAAGTTTCACCCTTTGTCTGGATTACATCTAACTTTGGGACACTTCTTGATGGGCCAGGTTGGCCGAAACACCTGTCTGGACTTAGACTCTGAAACCCTGTTGGACTCAGTCTTGCCAGGAAACATCTGGATTTAGAACCAATGCTTGTAAAAGTGCTTAGGTTAGAGATTTATCTTTATTATTTTATCCTTGCTGTTCACTGCTATTTTATTGTATATTTATGCTTTAATTAACTTTAATTATAATTTGTGATGTTCTTGGGTTTTGGCCACACTGGCTCCAGCTACCAGTATAACTATTTTCTGACACTCACCTTGTAAGTGTTCTACCTTGCGGAGTTGACTTCCTGTTCTTAGACCTGGGAGGGCTAGAGGCTTAGTCCCTTGGTCTCTGGCTGACAGAGTAAGGAGGAGACTGGTTGTAGCATTCCTTGGGGTGTGAGGATTCACACTTCAGCTCTTTGGGTTTTGCCTTGCCCAACCCATCACCCTTAATGAGGGCTTTGGCTTTAAAGTCCTTTGACACATGCTAATAAACACAATACAATTGGCAGGCATCTAGCATTTAGTATGCAAAGTGGCACCAGGTTTTTGGTTTGGTTGAGAATGGGAGAAAGATCAACAGATTACCTGAAATGGACAGTGTTTCATTTCAAAAGATCTTGTCTCACCCCCATCATAACCCCACCCCTATATATTTGAAGACAGAATATTTAAGCAAATATTTTAAGCAGAAGAGATTACACAGTAGAAAGCCAAACTATTCCCTTCTCTTAAATAGAGGCTTTGTTAAACTTCCATTGGTTTCCTATTTCCAAACGGAAAAGTTTTCCCTGCTTGCTTCCCTGAGTGACATGTGGATTTGCGTGTTTCCACTGAATACTGCAGGGTTTACACAGATCATGAGCACATAACCTTCACACTTATTATTTACCCTGATGGTTAAACACACATCCCTCAATGAAGGTTCCAAGCAGCCTCTTTTCATGTCATGTAGGGACATGTTAGCATCAGCTGAAACATTTTAATATTTGCATCACCGCACAGCTCACTCTAAATTATCCCTCTCCTGTGCAGCATATCTGAACACACACAGTTCCAAAAACAGAAGCTGCAGTTTATCTCCAGAAAAATGCACTGCTGGAAGTACAAAGACACCAGTGAAAAGGATTCTCAAATTCCAGTTATCTTAAAGAAATAGCATTTACACTACCACAAGTATGAATGAGAAAAGCAAACTTTAAATGTTATCTAGTGTATTAATTTTTATAATAGGTGCAATTTGTATACAAGTTTAAAGCTACAGGTAGGAGTCTGTTTACAGACTTCAGTGCCAGAGAAAGAGAGAAAAAGAATAAACAGCCAAGCAGCCGTAGTACACTGAGATATTAATAGGCTAATATACAATCTAGTGAATGAGAGGCCTTTTCCTTTAGTAACAAATCCATGACTTAAAACATGTATATTCCTAATAATCCAGGAACTGAAAAACATTCAAAGCCTTGACCAAGAGTTAAAAAAACACAACCCCCCCCCCCACAACTTCTCCCCTTGTTTGGATTCATTAATTGCCATGAAAAGACTTTACCACTCTGAATTTATATCAGAGACATCAACTTAAAAGGGAAACTCAACAGAACAAGACCTGAAAGGGGACAATATAAAAGTGACGAAAAGGCCCTCCAAGACACATTTCACTGATCTGGGAAGGACTGAATAGGGAGAATGAAGAGCATGCACAGCCAGGAAGAGTCCAAAAACAGCAGATGCTTCATCATCCCAGTGGATCCCCATCTGTCTGAGAGTTCTATCAGCTGAAGGAGGATGGTTCTGAATTCCCATTGGTTGCAGGTTCTTCCTTTTCACCTTCCTCCTGTGCAGACTCACTTGTCACAAGATGCTATTTTGATAAAGGCAAAGAAAGTAAAGTTAAAACTGTACAGTTTCTTCATAAGAAATGTCTCATGTTTGGGTTGCAAGATAGTGAGAGACTTTTCCCTCTCCCTTTGTTAGATGTTTCTTCTCGATAAAGTGGCTGTTCCATTTTGAAATTCAGAACAGCCAACAGATCATGGAAAGATGTTTTTCTCGGCTCCTGTTTGAAACCAATGGCCATAGGAATGCCATCAGCCTTCATTCAGGGCCTGCAGAATGGATTAGGAATGGTTCCAAACAGAATACTGGTTGCAAGGCTGGAAAGGGGCCTGCAGAATGGATTAGGAATGGTTCTGTTTGGAATACTGGTTGCAAGGCTGGAATGCACTGGAAACAGCATGGAAGAGTTTTCACTGCATGTATAGAGAAGCAAGGCAAAGTCCTCTTTAGAAAGCAGAAGGGTGGGGGAATGCAAGGAGGGAAAGGTGCAAACTCTTATCTCAATATACACCTGACCACTGTTCCCTCTAAGCTGAGTTAGTGTGAGCTAGCTCACAGTTTTTGACAGAAGGGTGGGGGAATGCAAGGAGGGAAAGGTGCAAACTCTTATCTCAATATACACCTGACCCAAATGAAATAAACCAATAAACAAAACAGTGACAAAGAAAACACTTTAAAAAGAGACAGAGGAGCTGAGAATGTTTTCTGAGCTCTAATACTGGAGATTTAAATAGACCCCAGCCACCTGCCAACTATTAGCCCTCCTCCCATTTTCACATTAATGCGCCAGGCCAGCTGTGCAGTGCTGTACACAGAGGAGGAAGATCCTTTTCCTAAACCCTCCCCCAATACATACAATGAGCAGATGGCTAATCCCTTCAACAAATAAACACTGGCTACCTCATTTTTAGTGGCTAGCCTGCATACTTAAGGCTGCCATGTCCAAAGACAATCTTTGTGGAATAGGCAAATTCAGTGGGCTCTAGCAAACACAGATGTAAACCAAACATTCATTAGAGCAACTCCTCTCATATCAAGGCCCTAGATGAATTCTCCAAGTCCAGATCAGTACCTCTAAGAGCAGTTCTGGTGGAGACTCCAGGGCAGACGTCTTTCTGGAAAAGCTCCCTCTGACTGGTTGTGACACCTGGTTCAACAGCCCTTGCTGAAAAGACTCTTCTCTTGAATTGATGTGTTTGGGGGTCTCAGCAACATTTTTGTTCAGCTGGTTCTCAATGGCAGCAGAAGCATCAGAAAGCAGAGGGGAAGGGGGGCACTGCATGCCATCTCCAACAACATCCAAGTCCTATCAAAGACAAAGCCAGAGAAACTTGACTGAGGAGCAGAGAGGATGCTCAGGAGTTTTCCTGTGGGTACAGACTAAATATTTCACAGCTTCTTCAAATGGAGAGAGGAAAGAAACCAAGCAAACCCAGCATGTACAAAAATATTAGAGTAATATTCTCTTCCATTAAGTTTAATGTCACTGTAATGTTGAAATTGGCTTTCTTTGGGGGTGGGGAGGAGTAAACCCCATATGGATGCAGCTGGGCTGCAAACCAGGGAATAGCTACAATAACATATGGGCAAAAGGATCCTTCATGATTACACTGATTATCAAAGCTCTACAAAAACGTCTATAACATCTTAAAATAAACCCTATACTCTATTGATAGCTTTTGTTATTTTAGAAGGAAAGGTGTAAATGTTATTTTGTGGATAGGTGGGCCTATTATCATTTACAAGAGCATATTTTTCTGAGGAAAATCAGAACATGGGGGAGGGAGGGAGAAAGGTACTTGCAATTCTGGAACACCCAGTTTGTTAATATAAGATCCTGGAAGCTAACTAGCTGCTTCTCTGACTGGATTCTGCTTCGTCAACCCAAAAGCCTTTCAGCAAAAATGCACATTCCACAAAACGATCCCTATGTCAAGAGCACAAGTGCTCCTTTACTCAGAAGTTCTCATACAGACAGATGGCAAATGGCACATTTACCTGCAAAGGCCGGCACGAAAGTTCCTGGACCTTTGCAACTGAAAACCTGCATAACCCAGAAAGCAGCAGGGATTGTGCCCCAGAATTCTTCTTGGAAATGCTATCACAGACCAGTGCAGAAGTTCTTCTGCCACCTAGAGATTATGTCCCTGTTTACAGCCACCTGCTGAGCCCACCACCCCAGAACAAATTATGCTTGAGAAATCAGTGCTCATTATACCCAAGTTGAACAGTGTGCCAGATCTTTAACCCCATCTCTGTACAGCAGGATTTGTGCTACAGGATTTGGGGGAGGAGAAAAGAGGAGAGGTACAGACTGGCAGCATTCAACTTCACCCAGGCATATGTTCCCCAGGGATTTCTGTATAATTCAGAAAAAAACTGATACTTTTGATAATTTTCAGAACTGCTTTCAGGGTTCTTTTTTAGGAGTCAAATCTCTCAAAGTCCGGCTGCAATATTTGCAATGTTTTTAATAAAGGATTTGAAAGTACACAGACTCAACATATATACAGGCCACTCCAGTAATCTAGGGATTATAACCTCTACTACACATCCTTTAAGGGCTAGGGAGAAAAAGCTGCTTTTTAAATGAGCTCCTAAATGCAGATTTGAATGGTCTGATCTTTCAAAAGACCCAGTGAAACAGGGTAGTACAAGTAACTGTTGTTCATTTAGTTGTCTTCTGTACAGGCACACATTGGGACTGTGAATGCACAGGCCTGCTACGGGAGATTACTTTCTAGCTTCTGTAGACTGGAAAGGCGCCCCTCCCTCTTGGTGGCTGCATTTTCCCACCAAAACTATTATACACTGAGCAAGAGAGGTGCCATTTTCCCTCAGTTTTCCTGAGCCACTGGAGCCCCTGTAAAAGAAAAAAAAACCCCTAATACCTCAGAAAGCTCAGAGCAGGCAGGAAGGAGGGGATGTGTGCCTACACAGAAGACAACGTCATGAACCACAGTTGTGGGTTAAGCACAACTCTGTTTTCATCTTTGGTCTTCTGTGCAGCCCCACATTGGGAGAGTACCAAGCTACTCACCAGGATGTGGGTTTGAGTCTCTCAATCAGAGAGAGAATGCAGGACAGCTGTCCCAGCTGGTGAGTCTTGTCTTGCATCTGTGTGCACAGCATAGTGACATGTGTAATAGGGGAAAACCAAGTCACATCTTTACAGGCCTTGTATAGATAAAGACCATGAAGGAAGGCTACTGAAGAAGCATGAGACCTGGTGGAATGAGCTCTTGACAGGGGACAGGAAATGCGTGTTCGTAACAAAGTTGAGTAGTCTGAACGATCCAGGAAGACATTTGTGATGATGCAGCTTAATGCTTATGTGGTCCAACAAAGCAAACAAACAAATTGTGCTCCTGTCAGAAGGGACATGTCCATTATAAATAGAACAATAAAAGCCCTTTTAGCATCTAACCCACATGAGACCTGTTCTGCTGGAGACAAAGGATTAGGAAAAAATACTGGTACTGTGACTGCCTGAACCAGGAGAAACTTCAAAATGACCTTAGGTAGGAAGTCAAAACTAGGACATAGCACCACCTTGTAGGGA